GTTTTTTGAGACAGGGTTTCTCTGTGTAACTTTGCGCCTTTCCTGGAACTCACTTTGTAGACCAGGCTGGCCTCGAACTCACAGAGATGCACCTGCCTCTGCCTCCCGAGTGCTGGGATTAAAGGCGTGCGCCACCACCACCCGGCCCAACTTAAAACTTTTTAAACCACTAAAATGTCTGGGGTTCACGAAGGCCAGCGTTTTTCTGTATGGATGATCCTTTCTTGGTAGAGAACCTCAGAGAAAGCGTGTACCTATGCTTCTGTACTCCAAAAAGTAAGTGTGTGTGTGTGTGTGTGTGTGTGCAGAAATTAATGTAATAGCTATTTAATTGTCAGTTGGAACAAATCTTCCAGCTGTGTTACTTTACTGGTTACTATGATCGAACACCTGGCAGAGGCAGTTTCAGGGAGGGAGGATTGATTTTGGCTCACGGTTCACGGGACACAGTCCAACACGGGCCAGGAAGGCCTGGGAGCTGGAAGACTTCCCTCCACAGAGGCCGGAGTTGGTGGTGCGGTCTGCTGGAGAAGGCGGGGCAGGACACGGTGTAAGTGGTTACTTCTACCACTCCGGGGACCACTCCAGCAACCCACTTTCTTCAGTGGAGCCCCACCTTCTAAGAGAGTAATTCTCAACCTTCCTAAGGCTGTGACCCTTTAATACAGTTCCTCGTGTTGCGGTGACCCCCAACCATAAAATTTTCGTTGCTACTCTATAACTGTGATTTTGGACCTGTTAAGAATTGTAATGTAAATATTTCTGGATACAGAAATCTGTCAGTAGGGTTGCGAACCACGGATTGGAACCACTGTCCTAAAGGCTTTACAACCTTCCAAATTAGTACCACCAGTTAGGAAGCACTGTTCGAACACACAAGCTTGTAGGGAATATTTTTCCATTTTTTTGCCTCCTGGGCCTTCGCACAGACCTGTTTCTAGAATGTCTCTCCCTGATCCAGTGTAGGACAGACTGCCATTATTCACATCGAAACTCAGTCGTCCCAACAAGGCATCACAATCCACAAAGATTACTGTGGGCACACAGCTTATTGTTGAGACACCAAGCTGTGTAGGGATTTTCAACTTTTGTTTCTAGAATATTTCATGCCCAGGATTTTGTCAGCCTCTCAAAATCCTCTAGAAACCCTGGAGGAGCCATGTAGGAAACGGCTGTGAGACCCTGGCAAGCCAAAAGGGAAGAATGAAATTATGCAATTATGCATGCATGTGGGCAAAAACACGGAGGGAACGTAGAGATGGGAAAAGTCAGCATTTCAGGGTAACAGAAAGGGGTGAAATTTTAAAATCTGACATTCTTTAATATAGTATTTTTGATAGTCATGATTTTGCCAGTTACTTGTGAATCAGTGTCTTCCAGTGCCCTGAACAGAGTATATCTTATTGACCTTGAACGTCAGCAGTGAAGGACCCCCTCTCCTGAGCTCTCATCTCTGTCCCTCAGCATGACCTTGAGAGATGTCTAGTAGGTATCTCCAATTCAGTATCCCAAACAGAGCCCTGATGACCCCTCCCACTTAGGACAGAAGAATACCATTTCTTTGTGCGAGAGTATACACACACACACACACACACACACACACACACTCCCACCTCTCATACCACTGATTCCAGTGTTCCTTTGCTCAGGCCAAAAGCCTCCGAGCATCTCCCAACTGATTGCTTTCACACATACCTGTTGGCCAATCTTTCCACTCTGATTTCACAATCAACTTAAACTTGAAGAGCTTGCCACATGTCTAGTGCACACCAAGACAAACCGCCCAGGTCACTGTGGAGTCTCTGAAGTAGCTTCCTTGCCCCTTTGCGGCCTCTTGACAGAGAATGAAGAGTAAATATATTGCAACTGGGTCGTTTTACATTTTTTCCTCTGGCCGGACCCAAATGACTACATTGCACCCAAATAAAAGGCCGAGTCCCGCCGTTTGCAAAGTCTCCTAAGACCCATTCCCACTTCCCTTTTGTATCTTGTTTCCCAGAGCTTTGAGCCCCAGTCAGCCAGCTTCAGTTATACTGGTGGATTGCTTTCCATTTCTAGAACACTCCATTCTTGCTCCCTTCTTCAGGAGCAGTTATTGTCTCCTTCACTTCCCCGTGATCTTTCAGAGATCTGTATGGTTGCTCCCAGTTTCTTTAGAATCTTTATTTAATGTCTCCTTTCTTATAAAGACTTGCCACCCAATTCAAAATGTTACACACACACACACACACACACACACACACACACACACACACACACATGCACACACACCTCTTCTAGCTCTAGTGTTTTTTCTAACATGCACCACTATCTATGGTATTTTATTGGGGGAGGACAAGGGACTTTTTGAAACAATGTTTCACTTTGTACCCTAAGCTAGCTTTAAGCTCAAGGGCTTTAAACTCAAGGGAATCCTCCTTCCTCAGCTCCCCAACCACAATCATTAAAGGTGTGAGTCACTTCTCCCAACTTAGACAACGTTTTGTGTACCTTTACAACTTAGTATATTTCTTCTCTTCTAGAATGTGAGCTTCCTGTATTTTGGGTTTTTTTTGTTTGTTTGTTTGGTTGGTTGGTTGGTTTTTTTTTTGTTTGTTTGTTTGTTTGTTTTTGAGACAGGGTTTCTCTGTGGAGTTTTAGTGCCTGTCCTGGATCTCGCACTGTAGATCAGGCTGGCCTCGAACTCACAGAGATCTGCCTGCTTCTGCCTCCCAAGTGCTGGGATTAAAGGCGTGCGCCACCACCGCCCGACATTCCTGTATTTTTTTTTCTTGTATTGTTCACAGCTGTGGCTGCTATTCCAGCACCTAGAATCATTCTCAGTGTGCAGGATGCCTTGGACATCATCGACTAAGAATATAAACAGGAATGAATAAACGACATTATCAACATGACTTTAAGATTGCATTTCCAGGTGTGAACCCTCCATCTGTTTCATATGTGATCTTTGATAAATTAGCCTCTTTGTGGAGACAGTGATAGAGCCTACCTTACAGGGACGCTATACCTGGTGCCCCATGGAACACACATGTTGCCAACATCTTGCCCCACAGGATGTTGTGACAATTGAAATAATCCATGAAAAGAGCCTTGGCGCTTAGCATACTCCTTCTAAAGACTGGTTGTTACTTCACTTACGCCTCCGGTGAGTTTGGATAGTTCTCTGTAGGGAGAAGACTGTCTTATTTTGCCTATAGGAAATGAAATGGTCACCCCCATTCTCACCACAAATTTCCCTCTGTGGCTGCCCCAGAACTTCGTGGAATTTGACTCCCTGGAGTTCTGACTCA